ATCCTAATTGTTGCAAATTTTGCTCTGCAATTAAGATTTTATTGTTGTAGTCGGTCGTCGTGGTGATTCTCAGTTCCATATCGGCCGGACACATGTAGAGATTGTATCCGAGGACGTAGTTGACTTGGGATCTCGCAAATCGCAAGACGTCTTGATACCTCGCTATCGAGTCTGGAATGTCTACCGGACTGTTTATCGCATCCTCGACGTTGACTAAAAACTGTTTTTGGGCGTCGAGACCCGTTCCTCGAGCGAGAATCGACGAACGCGTCGTTGCCTGCGCTCCGAGAATGGCCCACACGTAGGTTCGAACCGAATCGTTGAGTCTCGTCACTCCGGCCCGGGTGAAACCTCGCGATTTATCCAATATAAAAGCCTTGTAAGAGACGCCGGTCTGTTGATAATAGTCTACCGTGAGTCGACCTCTAACCGTGTGATCGACCATATTTCCGTATCCATAGTCTCCGCCGGTCGAGCGAGATCTTGCAACGTGCCAGTTGGTGTTGGTCGGAACTTGGAATTCGTTGCAGATTCTTTCGTAAGCCGTCATGTCGATGTTGTTAGATAAAATGCATTGTATCAATACAGACGTTAAAAATGGAGTTTTAAACCGATTCGAGTATCCGTTGGATAACCGAGAGGGGAATATGCAAATTGCTTTAAAAAGCATAACCAGAACGGTTGGATATTTCAACGTGGAAAAAAATTTAGGCGTTTTAAAATATACCATCGTAGAGCGTAATGGCAAAGAAATTTACGAACAAGGACGGATGCTATTATCGATTACTCCGGGGTTTTATTCGTGCGAAGAAATGATAAACATTTTAAAAAATAACGATGCTCTAAAACCGTACATTGGATATGCTGTTGGATAGAAGCACCGGTAAAGTAAAATTAAGATTTAAACCGTCAGAGGGAAGCACCGAAAAATTTTTAATATATTTCACTCCGGAGCTGGCTGCATTCTTCAAACTGCCTACTACGCATTTCAAGGTTAGAGGAATTTACAACGGTACGTCGTATTGCCGTAACACCCCGTATAGGATGCACGTTCACCTCCAAGAACTATCGAGCAAATGCACTCTTTTTGATGGGCGCGCGTCCTCTATTCTCGATACTCTTAACGTTCTAGATAAGCGACTCGGAGAAGTTGAGCCCTCTACTCGAAAAATTCTTACTTTTAAACCCCTCCAAATGGGAATGATTCAAGGGCTTACGTTTAATGTAACGGACGAACAAAACAAACTTGTAGATAATAGAGGTGGATTCGTTACGATCGAGACTATAATTAAAAAGGTGGTGTAATAAAAAATGGTTGAAATAGCTGCAGACGTAGCGACCCCGTCGCCGGCGGTAAAACCGGTACCGCTCGAGGCGGAAAAATTTAGATTGAGCAAGATTAGCGAGATGCTAGATGATATTAAAAACGACGAGGTGGGGCGAGGGAAAATATACAAAAAATATAAAAAGACTCAGAGTATCGTAGACTGGATCGATACCGGCTTGAATACCCTGTCCATCGTTTCCGCCGCGGGTGCAATCGGCGTTGCGAGTACGGTCGTGATGGGTCCTTTATCCATCGGTCTCGGTTCGTTGGCCGCCGTCTGTTGCGGGTTAAATTACGGCGGAAAATATCTGAGCAAGATGTTGGAAAAAAAGAGCGAAAAACACAAAACCATACAGATTATTTGCAAGACTAAACTGAGCACGATCGATAGCATCGTTTCCGCCGCTTTGGAAGATAATGTAATTAGCGATCAAGAGTTTAAACTGATCCTCGAGGAATATACTAAGTATCAAGACATGAAGCAAGATGCCATAGCAAAGGGGAAAAATGCTATCGACTCGCTAAAAACAAGATTGGCTCAAGAGACTGCAAGCGGGAAACGAATTTAGATTACGTAACAGTTTTACCGAAATGGGTTTTCGTTTCGATGACGTCATCGGGGTCACGTGAGGTCATTTGAGATGATGACGTCATCGGGGTCACGTGACGTCTTTCATCAAGATGACGTTTGTTGACGTCATCTTGATGAAAAGATGATTCATGACGTCATCGACAGGTCGTTTGCAATTTTTTGTTAATATATAGCTAGACCAGTTATGACATAGCTATAAAACTGGATCAGTTTTTTGTTATAGTGTATTAGAATAGGACTGGAGGGGATTCCCTAAAAACACTCTACTCCATGGCTGGGGCTGAGGTGAGAAAATTTGAGGAAATAGTACCTCTCGAGATGGCCGGAAATGACACTTTTATATAGTAAAATTTATCATCATCACATTACCATTATAGTCAAAATGAAACGCCAACAAATTTCTCATGATCTTTTATCAGGAATCTACTTAATATCCAGGACAACTTAGGCCTAATTATAGCTTACTAAGCTTTAACTCTATATAATATAGTATGATCAACAAATCATAGTTTTTTTTTTCGCATTTAGCACAATTTTCTTCACTTTTTATTGCTATTAATATTATTATCAATTATTACTATCGTCATCATCATCATTGTTATTATTATTATTACTATTAGTAGTAGTATTATTAAACAAACAATGATCTTTTATCAGGGATTTTTGACAACCATAGAGATCTTATTAATGTGTGCGATATACCATAGAAAAAAACATAGAAAAAAAGCTTAAAAACATTGTCTTTGAGTATGTACTTTACATAGGGCAGGGCTTGCCCTAACTTTTTTTGGTAACTAGCCCACTGGGCTAGTTTACTAGAGATTTTACTAGCCCACAGAACATTTTACTAGCCCACAGACAGGAAAAAATTTTGTTTCAAAATATTTATTAGCG